TCTTCCCAAGACAGTGGCACCCAAACCCCGAGTGTGACCCCCTCCATACAGGCAGCCATTCACTGCCAGCAGAAGGATTGCCAGGAAAGGCCCCAGGCGTCCTGGTGAGCAGCACTTTGCCAGGAGTCAGCAGGATGCCCTTGCAGAGATCCAGGGCTGCATTAGCAATAGCACAGCCAGCCAGGGTGGCTGAAGTGGCCATTTGGCTCTGCTCAGCACGAGAATGCCAATCCCAGTAGCACTGATAGCAGCCTAGCCTGGGGGCCCTGTTTTGGTCTCCAGATCAATGGATATGGCTAAATCGAGCTGGTGCTTCCTTCCTACTCTCTGTCACAGATGGAATCTACACCCTTCGCTAGTAAGAGAGAAGCAGCAATATATTTATTGATGTAACATAGCAATTTAACAAACTTTGTAGAGATTTAGCAAAGGATTTGAGATGTCAAGGTGCACTCAATCATTTACTGCATAGAGAATAGGCTTGAACGTACGCTCTACCAGGAGACTTTCCTGTTCGGTCACGAGGTTCAGAGCAGACCCTCTTGCTTTCTCAATTCCTTGTTAGAGGAATCTAGGTGTGGCTGGTTCCAAATCCAGTCCCAGATTGGGTTTATGTCCGTGACCTTTCCATTGGGCTATGGTGCTCAGAGCAGGGCAGACCCCCTGGTTCCTTCATCCCTTGAACCATGGAGGCAAGGAACCCTGCGTTAGTCAGTGGTTTCTGTCTGAAGGATGATATACTCACAATCAATCTAAGACATAACCTTAGCAAAGATAACACAGCTCAATCAACTGTTAGTCACTTACTAAGCATTTGTTTTGGCAGAGCCTCTTAACACCAAGGCACAAGAAATTGCTGCAGCAAGTGTAAGGAGATGCTGCAAAGACTGCTATCTGCTGCTGCTCTTTTCTGTGGGCACAAACAACAGTGGAAGACAGAACATGGGCAGAATCAAAGACTATAAAGCCCTGTGAGCACAATTGGAAAATGTTAGAGCCCACGTTATCTTCTCAGTTTTGTCAGCTGAAAGAAAGAGAGAAGCCTGAAATAGATGTGTAATGCACATCATCTGGCTGCGCTGGTGTTGGTGTGAGGGTTTTGGTTTTTGCAACAATGGGACTTTTTGTGAAGATTACAACCTGTCTGGGAGGGGTGGGATCCGCCTGTCCAGAAGGGGCCGGGCAATCCACGGCAGCGGGCTGGCCAACCCAGCGTGGCAGGCTTTAAACTGGAGGACCTGGGGGACAGGGTCCATAAAGGCAACGCCATTATGAACTGAGGCAGTGGAGTTGCTCTATCTGTGAGAGAACAACAGGAATGCATTGAGCAACGTACTGCAGGGAATTGCTTCGAGGGATTTGGACCGGGGGAGCCCCAGAGGTCCCTCCCAGCCCCTGTGATTCTGGGATTGCGTGACAAAGAATTCCTGCAGCAGGTGTGACCTTGAGAGTCTCCCCTACTCAAGGGGAGATGCAGCCATACGTCCTGTTTTGGTACAGGGGAGCGGGAGGACTCTGGTCTGTTTACTGATTGTAGGGTACAATGACTGGCTGTAGCCATATCGGATAGTAATTTAGTTCTGAGCTCGGTGTTAGGCGTCCCGGAATCTCGCTTAAATCAGACAGCGTTCGGCACCGCCGTCAGCCCGCTGCTGGCACAGCTGCTGCTGAGCGCAGCGCCATCAGCTGGGCTGGAAACAGCCGGGATTGCGGTCACCCCTGCCGGAAAAAGGCTGACGGTGCAACGGTCAGGCAGGAAGGAGGGGGGGAGCGGGGGAAACGCGCCATCGTTTTCAGCTCACTTTAAGCTGCATGGTTCTGCGTTCCCTTTTGGAAAGATCCACACTTTGAAACCCAACCCCCTTCTTTAAGTGCAAGTTTTCTCATTAATTCCCCATTTGTTTCGTCAAAAATATTCCCCTCTGATTTCTGAAACAGGAGCCTCAGGTCTGCTCCTAGCTAATAGCAGGCAGCAGATGAAGGACATTTCCACACGTCTGTGCTGGTTCTGAAAGCAGTTTTATTCTGCAGGATGAGCACCGGCTGCAGCATCTGTGTGTTCTGCCCGGGTGTGGAGCAGCTTAGGTTGGGTTAGCTGGCAACGAATGAGATTTCTCTGCTGAAGTCTGTGGCCTTCAGCTGTAACCGCAGAGCAGAAAGAGAATGAGCCCTTGCTGGGACAGAAATACCAAAACGTTTGCAACGTCTTGTTCTAATGATGGTCCTAAAAACCCACCACAGGTGATGGGCCACAGACATTCATCAGCTGATATCCAGGAAAAGAGGAAGGGAAAACAGCTCTTGGTATAAAGGAACACCCCACTCACGCCCAGAATCCCAGCCAGCAACGAGCGGTGCGGCAGAGCCCTGGCCTGGCTGCGTCTGCTGAGGAAGGGACGCTATCTGTACGGAGCTGGTTTGATGAGGATGAGGGAGGATTTGCAGTCCCCTTTGCACAGGCTGCCCCACGTCAGGCCGCCCTTGAAATTCAGCCGCACAGAATAACAAGCCGAGTACCACCACCCGCCCCCAGAGCGGGACGCACAGTTCTTCCTTGAAGTGTCCTGATCCCGATCTTTGGTGGAGAATTTCATGTTGTTGTGCATGTTACTGGGATTGTCCGAGTCCATGGCATCCCCCGCTGTGCCCGCGTAGGAGCCCAGCCGCAGCCGGTAGCCCTGGGCCTCATCGTCCAGACTGAAGAGGTTGTAGTCTGCGAACCTGACGTTGTTGGAGGCATCGTGAATGACGAACCTGACCTGGTAGACCTTCTGCTTGGCGATCTGGTGGAT